GCATGGAGCAGCAGCCAGCAGCGCGCGCCGGCAAGGGGGAGCCAGACTGAAAGCTACGCACAGCAGGGATGGTCCGGGGCTGGGAGGGGGACGCTCTGATGCCGGGGTGGGAGGACGCACAGGGGGGCCAGCAGGTGGGGGCTGGGGCCCGCTCCAGGCAGGGCTGGGGGAGAGACCCGGCTCCAAATATTGGTGGAGCAGGGCCCTCGGCTCTGAATATTGCTGGAGCATGGGCACCATGAGCCCATATAACTCGCCGCCCATGGTAGCTGGAGTTGATGTATCTTAAGTCTTCTTCTGTGCTTTTCTGTCTTCACCCAGCGGGAGGTCAATGGGAGCAAACGCTCCTGTCAGCTTCCCTTACTCCTCAAGAGGAGCAGGAGTACCAGCGCAGACAGATGCAGCCTCTGGGTTTGACTTAGCATGTCTTTACTAGACCCGCTAAACTGAACCCTGGAAGATTGACTAAGGCGGTGTCAATCTTCTGCATAGTGTAGACATGGCCTGAGAAACTAATAACATCAGGAACTCTGTCCCAGGCATCTCCCTGCTTACCTGTAAACGCTGCGCATGGAGCAGCAGCCAGCAGCGCGCGCCGGCAAGGGGGAGCCAGACTGAAAGCTACGCACAGCAGGGATGGTCCGGGGCTGGGAGGGGGACGCTCTGATGCCGGGGTGGGAGGACGCACAGGGGGGCCAGCAGGTGGGGGCTGGGGCCCGCTCCAGGCAGGGCTGGGGGAGAGACCCGGCTCCAAATATTGGTGGAGCAGGGCTCCCGGCTCAGAATCTTGCTAGAGTATGGACACCACGAGCCCATATAACTTGCTGCCCATGCACCATGGGATTATCTTAACTGGTCTAACTTCTACCCTTTTGTTCTGTCCTTGCTTAATTGCCACATATTTGAAAACTGCAATGTTCGGCTTTTTCTGTAAATGACAACTGACTGGTATATTGCCTTCATCCATTCTTATTATTAATTTTCTTACCATACTGCATTCCCAGTGCTTTCACCTTTATGGTTAGGTTTCCTGATGGAGGTGTCTGGAGAACCAGACTTGACCACACATTCAGAAGGATGCAGAGGAAATGATTTTATTTCAGAGCTGAGTTGCGACTGCAGATCTTTTAACATGGATGGTCTTTTATGAATCTTGTATCATCTTGATTGCAGGGAAGCTCTTAGTCAAATATGTTTGACTCAATGCCAGGTCTGAAGTCTTTTCAAAGTACTGTCATTTCGCATTCCTGATTGTGACTCTGGCAACAGAGACAACATCTCGTGTAAATGAGAACTCATCGGGATTGTTTATTGACATAGGTAATTAGCTTCTGGAGGAATCTAATTAAGCCGAGCTTGGTGTTCTCTTCATCTGATTTTAAATGAGGCTACCATAAAATAAATACAGTAAGCCAGTGGTTCCCAACCTGTGGTCTGAAGACCCCTGGTGGTCGGCGATGACACTGTAAAGAGTCTGTGAAAAGTTTAAAATAGAAATTAAAATAAATGTACAGTATATAAAAACACTTATGTATTTTAAAATTCATATATTGTGCAATTATAAATATAAATTAATACTTAGTTCTATGATTATGTTACGTGAATACATCACCCCACTCTAACCATTCAAAAGCCATTGGAGTGATGGGAAGGGTTTAATTGGGCTAGCAAAAATGGATCACTGGATCAAGACAGGAATGCTGAAAAGAAAGGAACTGAGAGATCACTGTGGAACATCAAGTTTTACTTCACAACAAACACAAAGTAAAGGGAAAATGTGAAAAAGTAGCGATGTATAGTTGGAGTTAGGGTTTACATGGACTCGCAATAAATGTCAAATGAGAGTTTAAAACCAGCTAATCTTAAATGTCACATTGAAATGAAACATGGCGACTATGTTTCTAAACCAACTGAATTTTTTGAGAACAAACACAAAGAATGTAAGGAAAGTGAGAAATTAATCGAGCACATAGCCCACAAGCAGTGACAATGCTAAGGCAGTACAAGCCTCTTATTGGGTGGCTCAACTCATAGCCAGGACAGGAAAGCCAGGCACCATTGGGAAGTAATTGATATTACCCACAGCAAAGCAGATGGTGAGTGCAGAGCTCGGAGACAAGGCTGGGAAACAGATTGGTTTAATTTCTCTCTCAAATAACACAGTTCAGCACAGAATTGGCTAAATGGCTCAGAATGTTAAGGAACAACTGACTGAGAGGGTGCGGAAAAGTCACTTCTGTTTTTTTTTCAAATTGATGAGTCAACGAATACTGCAAACCATTCAAACTTCCTGTCAGTCGTCAGATATGAAAACAATGGATGGTGTCAAGAGAACTTTCTCTTTTGCACATCTTTGCCCACATGCTCAACTGGCGAGCTTATTTTTGATGTGTTGAGTGATTTTGAGGGATCATGATATTGACTGGTCAAAATGTGTGGGGATCAGTACTGATGGGCTTGTGCAATGACCGGCCAGTACACTGGAGTAGTCTCTCGAGTTAAAGCAGTGTCACCATTAGCTACAATAATTCACTGCAGCATTCCCAGGGAAGCGCTAGCTGTTCAAAAAATGCCTGCTGACCTAAGAACGATTTTCAATGAATTAATGAATATTGTTAATTTAATCAACTCCTGTCCATTGAATTCAAGACTGTTTGCTGCTTTGTGTGACGAGATGGGCAGTGATCACAGCCTACTTCTTCACACACAAGTTCGCTGGCTTTCAAGAGGAAAGGTTCTCTCACCCCATTTGAATTGCATGATGAAGTGAGGCTTTTTTTGCTGGACCATCATTTTGAGCTCTCTCGTCACTTTGTTTCCTTGACTTGCTAAATTGGCTTACTTAGCTGATATCTTCAGCTACCTAAATGGGCTTAATCAAAGTCTGCAGGGAAAAGCTGTGACCATCTTCCGTGTCCATGACAAGACTGATGCTATGATCAAGAAATTGGACCTGTGGACATCTTGACTTAATCAGTCCAACAATGATTCTTTCCCAAATCTCTCTGATTTTTTTCTTTGGCCAGCTCAGAAATGCAACTCACAGATAATGTGAAATCAGAGACCACATGCAAAGCCTCAAAGTACAGCTGTGTAAGTACTTTCTTGTTACCAACACGAACAACAACTGGATCAGAAAACCATTTGTGGACCTTGCTACCAACATAAACACAAGTTTGACATCCCAAGAACAAGACAGCCTCGCTGAACTATCAGGAATTAATTCATTGAAGCTTGTCTTCAAACAAAAATCCCTGACTATCTTTTATCTACAAGTTGTTACTGAATATCCAGAACTTTCTTACAAGGCTGCAAAATACTTGATGCCTTTTCCAACAACTCATGTTTGTGTGAATGGATTCTCTGTACTGGTTGCATTAAAATGGAAGTGCCAGAGCTGGCTGACTGTGGAATCAGATCTAAGGCTGAGATTATCATCAGTCCAACCAAACATCCATGCTCTTTCACTGAAATGCATTTGAAGCATTATCATTTTTTATGTATGAATGTGAGAATGTTAAATCTTTCACAGAAACCACATTGCATATCTAAATTTCTGTCCTTACGTTCTTCTATGTTTCAGATTGAAACTTGTGGTGTTAGACAATGTATGGAAGGATATTGAGGATCAATGTGACATAGTCTGTGCAACAAATGGTGCACATGTCGAATGTGTACCCTAATGTACCCTAATAATGTGTACCCACGTGCCAAATGTAATTTAAGCTTATTACCCATGAGTTGTGTACATATTCTTCAGTTCACATTATTCAATAAAAATAAATGACACCTCAAAACTGTTACACTTCAATGTGGACACCCTGTATAATCTCTCAATAGTACTAGATTTGTTTAGATAACATGAACTATTACATATTTCAAATGATTATCAAATAATGGAATGTTTGAAAATAGCTATATCGTTTGGGGGTGTCAGTAAAATGTTAATCGATTTAAAAAGGGTTCTGTATGCTCATAAAGGTTGAGAGCCACTGCACAAAGTTATCTTGTGAAGTTGAAGGACAGCAGAGAAGGCAAATAAGCCCCTCATTGAAAGTGAAATTTGTAGTCTGACATGAGTGCAGATGGAGAGTCCCTGTATAAACAGAATGCAGCATGAGCATAGATTCCCCAAATCATCATGGCTGGTCTCTGATGTCCTCACAGTGCTGTCTGTGGGCACATATGAACATGTATGTGAATGTAATGAATGTGACTTGTGAGGATAAGCTGCCCATGCAATAAAAATCATGACAGAAAGGATTACCGTGTACGTACTTAAGGAGACCCAGCCTTCATTGGTGTTGGATTCTAATAGATATGCAAGAAAGCACTGCTGACAATGTAGTGAACAGTGCACACCTTTTTCAGTTACCGCAGGTACAGTTGAACTGTAGTTGGCTAAGAGAACACGGCTTTTCATTGTATACTGCAATGAAAACTAGTCACAGGTTTAATGGTGAAAGAATGTGGATATGATTATTTACCTTGGCACGTTTTCCAGGTTCTGAAAGTTACTATTTCATAGTGAATAATAAAAACGTCCTTGAAAAAACAGACTCCCTATTGGTTCTAACAGTTTATACAGCTACATGTTCCGATTATATCCCTGCTATTGAATCAAATAAATACATTCTTATTTATTTAAAAACAACAACAAACAGTGACATGATTAAATTCTGTGTAATGGAGCCAAAATAGTCTTTAATTAAAGCTGTGACATGGCAGGAGGGGCAGCTTTACTGTGTAAATGACACAGAACGAAGACTACTGAACATGCACAGTAGGGAAATTGTGATGCCTGCTATGGGAAAGATTCCACAAAACGAAATAAAAATTTGGAGAGGAAATAGCTGTTATGCGTCTTGCTGAACTGGATTAAACATAATGAAGGTTTAAAAATGTCAGAGGCTTAAACAAACTAAAATTTGGCCCTGGATTAAAAAAAAGGTGGTACAGTTTTAACATCCCCTACATTTTATTCTCTTTTTCTGTTACAGATCACACATCTGTGGGCGGGCTGGGAGACAGTTTTTATGAATACTTACTGAAAGCTTGGCTGATGTCAGACAAAATGGACACGGAAGCAAGGAAAATGTATGACGATGCTGTTGAGGTGATTATAATCCACTGAGTTTTCTGTATAATGGATAAAAACAGTGCCATGGAAAAATTCACTTGATAACTGGGAAGCACAGAGGACTTTTACCTGTTTTATTAGTCTGCTGGGAAAACAATTTGGTTGTTTTTAAGGCTCCACGGGAACAGTAGCAACCTTTCCTTTTGTGTAGTTTAAAAAAATATTGCGGTGGGATCTTTTTAGTGCAGATTATCATACTAAAAGTTATCAGCTCTTTCAAAAGGCTTAGCTACAGCAAATCAAGGAGATGTTTAATTGGGACTGACCCTACAGCTCCAATATATGCAAAATTTCCCATGACATAATGGAAAGTTTTCTTGCCAGGTAAGTTCATGTAATAATTCAGGGAACTGGGATCCTGAAAGATTTTATTTCTTAAATTATTTTGAAAGCATTTAAATGTTATACAAAATATTTACTTTGTAATTATGTATATGGTAAAAACCAATTTCCTCCCACTGTGAAGTGATTGTCATGCCCCCTTGAAATGTAGTCGTCTTGGATCTTACCGTGGAGTGGTGTCAGCATGGGGTGGGCAGCCAGGACCCCGAGCACAGAGCCAGTAGCTTGGGCCCAGGTTGTAGGGCTAGCAGCTGGGATCCCACCTGAGCTCCGGGTGGGAGGCTGGCACCCGTGACCTGAAACAGAGCTGGGTGGTGCTCGCTCCCCGTCTTCTATGGGGCCTGATCCAGGCTCCAGCTGCACCCTCCTCCCTACCCCCAAACATTTCTGCATGTTCCCTTAGGGGGTGCACCCCACAGTTTTGGGACCTGTGTACTAATGCTATGATAAGCTTTGTTCATGTGATTAGATGTTTCAAACACAATTGTCTTTGTTAAATAGTAATTTGGCTCATACAATACAAAGGCACATAGATAGTGTGCAGTTTTCCAGGTTTAATACACAGTATCAGTACCTGATATGCAAAGTTTTAATGTAATGAGAATTTTCTTGAAGGAAATTCTTGATTATTTTTTATTACTAATATTTGGCTCCAACTAAAATATGGTCCACGCTATATAAACCTATAGGAATAGATAATCGCTGCCCCTAAAGAGACAAGATAGACAAAGCATGAGATGGAAAGGAGAGTGCAGAAAGGTAACTTGCTCATGGTTACAAGATCCATACTGTAGCAAAGAATAGACTTGTAGGCCTCCTGCATCCCAGTCCAGGGCCCTATCTATTCAGACCCTCTGAGGGATTGTCTCTAGCATGGGGTGAATCGACACTGCAGCCTAAAAAAGGCTCTCTACATTGATTGACTATCAGTTTCCCATTGACTCTGGCACTCCACCAGAACGAAATGAGTAAGGAGAGATGATGAGAGCTTTTCTGTCAAACCCCTATATTGTGGACCCCGTGGTAAGTAGATCCAAGCTAAACCAGTTTGAGTTATGCTAACATAACTCAAATTGCATAGCTTAGATTGACCTGTCCCCATAGTATATTTCTGCCAGGAGTGCAAACTTTCTATCTGGAAAGCATTCATTTTCCACCTGTGACCTGTTTTTATAAGCTTCCCCTCCTTCTTCCCCCCCTCCCCCCTCCAAGGTCTGTGTGTGTTCATTTTCTGTCAGCATTTTAAAGCAATGCCTGCTCTTGGTTACTGCAATGCTTTAAAAATGAAACAAACACAAAAAGCTCTTTGCTAATCTTTGTCCTGTATTTAAAGTACTGTGAAAACCAAAACACATCTTGTTGGACTCTGAATTCCTTTTTGCTTCAGCTTCCAGCAACTGAGTCTTGTTAAGCCTTGGCAAAATTAAGGCACCCTCTACTATCAGAAATCTTCTCCCCATATAGATATTTACAGGCAGTGAGCAAGTTATCTTGTAACCTTCCAGTATATATACTAAATAGATTGAGCTTCTTCAGTCTCTCATGGTAAGGCAGATTTTACAGAGCTTGAATTATTCTTTTTTAAACCTTTTCCAATTTGTCACTGTCTTTTTAAAAATATGATCAGTTGGTTATGCTCCAAATCCACAACGTCTTTTACTTTAGGCATTGCTTTCCAAAATACAATCCCCTATACTACAGTTGTGACCTATATTCTTGATTCCTATATATATGATATTCTATTTAATTATGATTAAAACACATGCTGTTCAAATATGCCCAGTTTATCGTTTGTTTTACTCTTCTGTGTACATCTGACCTGTCCTTATAATTGTTAATAACTGTGCCAATTTTTGTGTCACCTGACAGCATTGCCACAGTAATTTTATATTTTTTTCCAGATCAGTGATACTGAACAGCATTGGATCAAGAACTGATTCCTGTGGGATCTGTTGTGTTAATTTTGAGGGAATTAAATGTGAATTCAGAGTCACAGGGGTCAACTTTATCCTTTCACTGTATAACTCCAGTCAGTTAAACATGGTTCAGGTTTTTGAGTACAGAGACTGCTTACAATGACAAACTTTCCATTAAAAATCTTATTACTCTTATTAACTATTACATTACAAAAAAGAAGAAATAGCAGTTAAAGCATTTGAAATGTAAAGTAATAAGTAAGGTCTAAAAATGGTTCTTGCTCTCTTTCTCTTTAGATGTAGTGTTTTTACAAGGGAAAAAACACCCAGTCTGATAGTCTTTTAAAGGATATTAAAGACGGTAAAGATGTTGTTTTTGAGGGAAGACAAGACAAGGCAAACACACACAAAAGGAGAGAAAAGAACAGCAAAGATACAAAATGCTGCTTCTGTCTCTGGTGCAGACTCTCTCACTTGCAACTTTCCAGCTGGAGAAACACAGGCAAAGCACATTGTCTTCTCAGCCCCTCCAAGGCCTAGAAAATTCATACCAGAATTGGGCTGTTTAAGATCCTGCTTTCATTGCCTCTCTGATTACTGGCTCTCAGCAGTGTTGCAAAAGATACAGTCTTGGCCAGCTAAGCCATGTTCTTATTGAACAGAAAGCAAAAAGGGAGGAAAGAGAAGAAATAAGGTGTGGGAAGGAAAAGGACACGTGGTAGGGAAGACAGTGGGAACCCCTGGGACCAGTGGACTTGGTGATGTTGTGAGATTTTTTTTCTCTGACCTAGTGTGGACAAGACATCTCTCAGGACCAGAATGCTGAAAGTTCAATAGTGTCACAGTGGATTTGGGAATTCCAAGAGCTAGTGAAGTGAGCCAGGATGGTGATGATTAGGGGACTGGAGCACTTGACCTACAAGGAGAGGCTGTGGGATTTGGGTTTACTTAGTCTGCAGAAGAGAAGAGTAAGGGGAGATTTGTTAGCAGCCTTTAACTACCCAAAGAGGATGAAGAGAGGTCTCAGTAGAGACAGATGGCAGAACAAGGAGGGTCTCAAGTTGGGTGGGAGAGGTCTAGGTTGGATATGCAGGGCTTGATAAACGGCAGCAAAAGCCGCTCGCCAGGCCCGCACTGTGCATGCGCAAGAGCTGCATTGTGCATGCGCGTGCCGCCGGTAAACGGGGCGCGTGGCTGAAATCTACTCGCCACGTGCGAGTAGATTCTATAGTTTGTTGAGCCCTGGATATTAGGAAAAACTATTTCCCTAGGAGGGCGGTGAAGTACTGGAATGGGTTACCTAGGGAGGTGGTAGAATCTCCATCCCTAGAGGTTTTAAAGTCCCAGCTTGACAAAGCCCTGGCTGGGATGATTTAGTTGGGGTTGGTCCTGCAAAAGTTTTGATCCCTCATGAAGTCTTATTTTAAGGATTCCTAAAGGGAATGACGGGTAATATGATGCATTAGATAATAATCCCCCATTTGTAACTGTGCTTTATGATGGGGCACTTACCCAGTTTTTAATCGATTTACTATGTGGTACACTGTTTTGATGTAATGCTGTAATTTTGATGTAATATTTTAAATCAGAATGTCATACATGTGTAAGTGAAATGCCTTACCGAAGTCTATTATGTCAACAGTTACTTTTATCAAACGTGAGATTTAATTTTAAAAAGATATGCAATTTTTGACAAGACCTAATTTTATAAAGGTATGCTGATTCGCATAAGTTTGCCGCTGTCTCCTAGCTCTTTACTAATTGCATCCCATCTGAGCCTTTCCGTCCTTTTGCCTGGAACTGATGTAATCTGGTCTGTAGTTACCCTGTTCATCCTGTAACCTTTTTTCCAATGATTGCATAATGTTAGCTTTTTTTCTAGTCCTTTATAGCTTCCCCATCTAGACAGACTACTGTGACACAGGGTACTTAAGGTGGGTCCAAATGTGCACTATGGTCCACCCGACTGGAACAGCTTTCAGCTTCAGGGCCTATTTCTGTAACAGAAATATTGCTAGATATAAGTATAGCTGTTTGTTTTCTCTATCTACATTTTGGAGGTTTTATTAAATCCATAAAATAATTAATCAGAGTTGTTCCCTAGTGCATGGATTTACAGTATAAATTTGTAAGTGTAATGTGTGCCTGGGCATATCTACATTGCAGTGTATGTGTGAGTTCACACTCAGGCTCAAGCCTTAACCCTCGTTCCATCTACACACACATCTCTTGGACGAGTCTCAGACTCAGGATCCTCTGAGGTTGAAAGATCCAAGCCCAAGTGAAGGGTCTAACCAAAATTCAAGCCCTAACTTGTTGCATTGTAAATGCAATCTTCCTCCGTTCTACAGACTTGGGGTCCTTGGAGTCCTCCAACAGTAGCCCACAATGCAATGAAGTGGCTTCCTTTGCCCTTTCTCTTCCAAAAATCACAAGTCAGCTCCAGGAAAATGGCTGCAGGCCCTTTGGCCCAAGTGTAATAGCTGAATATTTAACCTCCTATTTTATTCTGACAACTAAGCTGCAAATACATCTTATAAAACCATAGAGATGGAAGAGACCTCAGAAGGACAATAGAAAAGCCTTCAGCATTTGCAGTGGGTGCCAACTAGAAGAAGTCCTTTACAAAGTGTGTTGCTTCGTGATAATGGGAACACAGCTAACGTTTGATTATACAGTGGATTTTAATTAGAGTACCAGGAAGTCAGACCACCAAAC